ACAACTCCGTAGCTGGTAATGACCACGTCAGGGGCAGACGCAGCACTAGCCTCGCAGCACATCGCCTGGAGGTTGCTGGCCTTCTCGTTGCCGTAGTAAACAATGGCCTTGAGAGTGCCCTCCTTGGAAGCTTTCTCAGCCTCACTCTGCCATTGCGCCAGGAGTGACATGGGCGCCACAACCAGCGTCGTACATGGCGCTGAAAGCACGTTGGATGAGTTTGAAGCAAGTCTGGGCAGCTCGTTGACAGACGCAGGGGCACCGCCCTCCGCCTTGGCTCGTTGAGCAATATCGGACCGGTGCGAGTGGACGAGACTAAGCATCTGAATGGTCTTGCCGAGACCCATCTCATCGGCAAGTATACCGCCTAGGCAGTTCTGTTCTTGCACGGGGAAGTCCAGTGACATGTCGCCTGAGTACGGGTTAACGTAAAAGTGCTGCTGGTCCTGTACCTGAGGCAAATCCTTGTCGTCGGTGTCCTTGAGTGGCCAGGCATACTCTTCCCATAGAGGATGCATACTGGGCTCACGGTTGCTTTTTAGATCCTTCTCTTTGGTCATCATCCAGTATAATGCCTGTTTTTGGTATGGCCGCAGGTCCATCGCGAACGTATCCGCCGGCTCCGCCTCTGGTGTATTGAAGTCAAACGACTGAGCCTTCCGGTACAGCGCGTCTAGCTGGTCCTGCTCCAGCTCCTCGCCGTCTTCTTGCTCGTCAGAGCCAGGGGAAGACCCCGGTTCCTTGGCTGTGGCCTTTGTGGCTTCCTTCTCCTTCTTCTCGTCCATCTCCGCCGCCTGCAGCAATCCTTGTCTCTGGTTCTTCGCGTTCTTCGATGCCGCCGAGTTCACTCTCGTGGGTTCGAGGTTGATCTCGTGCAGGAGTTTGACCAAAGCGACCTGTCGCAGCCGAAGTTCCTTCTCTTCTGTGGACTCCTTCTCTTCAAAAAACCCCGCCGCCCTGTTCTCTGCGATCTTGAACCCGGGACTGTGGAATGCCGAAGCCAGCAGGTGGCACTTGAGTTGGATAAAGACCGTGTCGTTCGTCCGTAGCCTTTCAGGGGCGTAGACACATGTGCCCTCGAAGCTGCAAATCTTTTGGTCCATTAATGTCGATACCCACTCCGCCGTCTCCTTCGCCAGTCTCCCAATCTCCATGCCGCTGCTCGTCGTAAACCGCACCAAGACATCTACGCGTCTCGCGGCAGCAGATCCGCCACGAGGGGCGACAGTAGTCACGCCAAACTTTGTAACTCGTGTGGCCTTGGGAGGCTGGATCTTTTGCCTGTCAATCTTGACAACATCACCATGCTTGAGGAGGTTGGCACCGCTGCGCGTAGCCCAGCCCTCAACACCAAGAGATCCAATGTATCGAGACTCGGGCATGCTTCGACGAATGATCGGTTTCGGGGAATCTTCCATCGGGACGTCTTGTACGGTCGATATGGCGGCGGCGGCGGGGGACGGTCTGGCGAAAGCATTGACCGAGGGAGCCTTCTTCTTGAAGTTCTTCCATGTGCCGTCAAAGTACATATTGACTGCGCGCTCTAAGTTGTTCCCACAGTTCTCTCGTATAACATCTAGCACATCCGCAGCAACCTTGTCGCCCACGAAGCTCTCAAACATCTCCTGGTCGAAAGTCATGGCAGACTCTTCGCGCTGGAGATCGGACGGGGGAGGGGCAGCGCGGTTGGAGGCATCTTGGATGGGCTGCTCGACCAGCGGTCCGCGTGACTTCAATGGCGAGGAAGGCGCTTCGGCATCCTCGCTCTTGATCTGCGCCCTATCGTCGTCGTCGACATCTTGAAAGAACCGCTGCTTCTGATGTGTCGGCGGGGTAGGCAGCGCCGGGCTCGAGTGGTGGCTCAAGGCATCATCGTCGGAGAAGAAGCGTCTCCTCTTGGCAGGAGGCTCGGGAGAGCCTGTGAAATCCATGATAGGACTTGAAATGCCCCCAAAATGTCCTTCAAGGTGGCAGGATTACAATGCCAAAACAGGCGACCAAAGGTACACTCAACCCAGCTCCAGAGAATGGAGACGCGAGGCGAATCAGTCAGCGCGACTGACCGCGTCGGGTCATCACGTGCTTGCGTGACACCTTATGTAAGCCACTTAAACCACCCTCTGCAAGACGTCATAATTGGGTTAGTACACCGTAAAAAAAAAGTGGTTGACTCGGGCATTTTGCGCATCCCGTCGCCCCAGCTATACCGCACTGTAAAGAAGATCCACTCGCCTTGAAGGTGCGATTTTCAGATTGAAGAAGCATCTCCGACATGGCGCATTACAACAGCGCATTCTCCTGAATGAATCGACCACGCATCGTTGGCCATGGCCTGAGAAGGCTCGTACAGACCCCTCCGCGGGGAGCCAGGGGCATCATCACCGACGCAGACGTCGTCAAGGCAAGGAAGTATTGCCAGTCGCAGCTTCAGTAAGTGCAATCGCCTCTCTCCCATCAGCAGCGGGTAGCAACCTCGATATTCGTTGCTAACAACACCCTAGACACAGCCACCACGATGCTCATTTAGTTTACCGGCTCCTCTCCCCCAGAGCCCAGGATGCATACCTCGCCCTACGCGCCCTCAACCTCGAGCTCGTCCGCCTCCCCGAAGTCGTCTCGAACCCGGTTATAGGCCAGCTGCGCATGCAGTTCTGGCGCGAGTCGATCGACAAGACCTTCGCCGGCACGCCGCCCGCCGAGCCGATCTGCGTTCTCCTTCACCAGGCCCTCCAGGACCTGCGCGCGCGCTCCCGCAGCAGCACCGCGAGCTCGATCCGCTTCTGGGCGCAGAGAGTCATCAAGACGAGGGAGAAGCACATGGACAACCGCCCGTTCGCTTCGTTGGCCGCGCTCGAGGAGTACGCCGAGAACACGTACTCGACGCTCATGTATGCCGTCCTCGCCGCGATGCCGCTGCGCTCGATGCAGGTCGACCACCTCGCGAGCCACATCGGCAAGGCGTGCGGCATCGTCGCGACGCTGAGGGGCATCCCCGTGCTCGCGGCGCCGCAGCAGACGCAGGTGCACACGCCATCCGGGGCGGAGCCTCCGCGGCCACGGGACCCGGTCCTGTTGCTGCCGCTGGATGTCATGTCGGAGGTGAACTTGCGCGAGGAGGACGTGTTCAGGTACGGACCCGAGGCAGAGGGGTTCCAGGACGCGGTATTCAAGGTCGCGACGAGGGCGAACGACCACCTTATCACGGCGCGCGAGATGCTGAAGAATGTGCGGGCGGGCCAGGATGCGGGGCACGACTTTGAGCACCAGGGTGAGGAGGAGCACGTGTACGCGGAAGATCAGGAGGACGACGTGCAGCGAGATATTCGCCGCGGCTTTGGCGTGTTGCTGGAGGCTATCCCTGCGCAAGAGTATCTCACGAACCTAGAGGTGAGCAATTTCGACCCGTTCGCAGTCAAGGCGAGCTGGAAACTGGCATGGCGCCTGTGGCGCGCCACGAGCAAGCAACAAATTTAAGTCAATGTAGGACTGTAATATCAAGGGACCAGCTATGTAGGATATGCATGTACGACTATAACTGGCTGCCACGGCCTTGTTAACAAAAATAACCAACCTTGCTCCGTCAGTCAGAGCCAAAATTTCAGTGACATTCGGACTTCGACTTGGTGATGACAATTGAATCAGCTGGATTGGCTCAATCGACCGCGGGGACAGTGCGGATGATCCGTACCCATCACGCGCCACACAGTCGTGGCTGAAGCTCCTCCCCACACCGTCACGAGCCACATCCAGCGATCGGAAAATTCCAGACCTGTGGCGCAGGGCCTCCGAAATAATTTGGCCATCGCGAAGCTCCATCCACATCTCGACTCAACCGCAGTATCGTCAATGTCGACCACAAGATGTTGTACGAACTCGTAGGAATCGTAAGCCCTCCACTTCCCGACGCACTTCATGCTTTAATCCAGTGACTAACATCTCCACCAGGTCCGTCCGGGCAACCTCGCCGAGGTGAAAGAGTATGCGACCAAGCCCCCCTCCCCTCCGAACCGCACCACCACCGCCCCGCGATCTTCTCTCTACTCTTCCCCCCCAACCCGCCTCTCGGTACGTCCTAACATTTACCTACCATAGAATCGCCCTCACCGCCGGCCAAATCATCCTCCGCAATGGCGGCGTCATCCGCGGCATGGCCAACTGGGGCGTCTTCCAGCTCCCCCGCCCCATTTCCAGGGCGCAGATGAAGCACAAGTCGGGCCACTACTTCGTCATGCGCTACGACGCATCGTCCGCCACGCACTCCGACATGCGAAACACCATCAACCTCGATCCCCGCGTCATTCGTACCGCACACGTCAAGCTCGGCGACGGCAAGCTCCAGACCGCCGCCCGCTTCGGTGATGTCAAGTGGGATGGACGCCATTAAAGGCGTGAAGACGAGAGGGACGAATTCAAGGATGAGCGAGAGGACAAGGGTCTCTGTGCCGCGAGGAAATCTAGAGACATGGAGTCTTAAAACCGGCGGAGGATGTATGATATTGAATATTCCCGAGCCAGCGCCGGGTTTTTGATGGCCTGTATTAAGCCGGCCACAGCGCGGAGTGTACAACTACGTGGCACGAAATTACAAAATAGTAGAAATGATCTCCAAGCATACACCAAAAGCGCAAGAGGGACGATGTGTACTATAACAATCAGTCTGAAGTTCGTGAGTCATATCTGTGTACTGGCTAATGCTGGAATCCGATGCAGCCCGCTCCCAACGTCAGCAGCGTCCAACGCCCATGGACAGCTGATACTATTTCTGTATGGAGTATGAATGTTCGCCAAGTCAACCATGCCCCGCTGATACGCGCGATGACAGACATCTATCCCTATCAGGAGCTTTCGGGGCTTCGATGACCTTCGACTGTGAAACCACGGACTATGGCGTAGACTTTGGCGCGTTTATGAGCCCTCGATGACCTCGTATTCTTCAGCTTGTCCTCCCGTACAAGCAGAGGTTCTTGGCGGATAGGCGTCTTCCTCTTCTTCTCCGATTTCTAAGCGTCAACGTCCATAAGAGCGGAATCGGCCTTTCCAACCCCCTTTTCTCTGCACCAAGCCACGAAGTCGTCAATAACACTCGGCCAGGCACCGTCCTCGTTCCAGAAGGACAAGGTCTCGTCCGACATAGTCTTGGTGGCGAACTCGAGAATCATGTTCCACATGTCGCGGTTGACAGAACGAGTCCACTTCTCGTCAAGGAATGACGACCACAACTCGAGCCAGTCATGAGACTTGGTCTTCCATTGCCAGCCTGGTGGCGAGAACAAGACGCTCCAGTAGACCTTTGCTGTGTCGAGAGCTAGCGCCTTCTGGTTCTCCTCCTTGCTAGCGACAAAGGTGTAGCGGTAAACTTTTTTGAAGTAAGCGGGATCAGTGGCGAGTGTGTTGACCAGAGACTTGACGTGCGCGGCGTGCGCTTGACGCGTCGCGGAGCTGAATACTTGTTAGTAAAGAGCTGCAGCGTGCATGATTTTCAATGGCAAGAGTGACAATGTCAGGGTAGCAGCCATGACATATGCGCGGCAAGAACATACCCGGTTGTTTTCCAGCCATCAATGTAGCCTTTTTTCGTAATCGCGCCAATAGATGGCGACTGAAGAAGCTCTGCGACTACAAGCATCTCGGCGTTCTCGAGGTCTACGCCAAGATTCTCAAGATAGGCCATGGTCGACTCAACACCCATCGTGTCCTTCTCATCTCTTGAATCATCTAGGTCTTAAGTTAGCGAATTCGGACCGAGAGCGGATCGGTTTACCCGTACCACGAAGCTTGTCGAACATCTGACCCAAAGACGTATCGAGTGCTGAGGTTGTGGGTGTGGTGGTGCCACTGGTGCCAGAGAAGTAGCTATAGACAGACCCGTTAGCATATTGTTCTCGTTCAAACGTGGTGGAGATGTTCAACAAAGACGTCGACAATGTGTAACAGCTTCGAAGCGCTGACGACATGGGAAACGAGACATGACTGGCAACTTTGCTCAGGAAGCCGAGAATAATTCAAGTACCCGGAGTGTTTTTTCTCCTCGCAAACAGGGCTGTTCTTGGACCCTTTTCGTTTCGAAGAAAACATGCTTCTAGATGCGCGCTTCACACCGTCCCAGCCCATCTTCTCATAAACGCTGGATCGCGCGGCGTCGGTTGTTTGGCAGAACTCAGCAGCAGGCTAGCCGGCGTAGCACGAGACGAGCCGTAGGGCGATGAGTTATAAGGCTGAGAATACGGTATCACCGGAGAACCGTATAGAGTTTATGTTATTTGCAGACTTGCAGACGGCAGGTTCGGAAGGGCAGCGGGAGTCTCGACTGGGCCCCCCTTTCAACGAACCTTCGTGATCGCCAGTGATGGGTGGCAGCTGGTTGGCAGCCGGGCCAGTCCGTGAGTTGAAGCGCCGGTGTCAATTAAGACGGAAAGACAGGAGCTGGCTAGTCGAAACAAGCCTGAGTGGCGGCTGCCACGGCAGTTCGTCGACTTAAGGGCCATTCTAAGCGCAGATTGAATGTTTCAGGAACCATTGACAATCGGCGTCGATTCGGCCTTTCTCTTGATTGTGTGGACGGTACGTGACCCCGAAAGGGGACTGGGCTGCGACCTCTTGGGTGCAGGAGCATTGTCCAGCAAGCGCAGCGCAACGGCAGCGTTATCGAACCCGGAAAAGCAGCGCTTCGGCGCAGTGAGTGGGCGGGAAGGCCGCATGCTCCCCCACAATGGGTACCTCAGTCAGAACGTGGGCGAGCCGCCGACAAGGCAAGGTAGCGTGAGGTACAGCAAGGTGCGGTCCGTATCCATGCGCGGCGTGCTGCTCTGCAGGCCAAATTGCCCCGAGAAGGGCCGGTGCGCTCTTCAGTCCGATTGATGGATGCTTCGGAAACCACTTTAAAAGAGCGGTAAAAGACCACTGGCAGGCGGCGTAATCGGGCAAAGACATCCAAGCACCGAAGCGAGAGACGAAACAGAGGGATACAAAAGCGACACGCAAGACGAAAAGAAAATCCATGTCGAACATGGAGAGGATGACTTACGCATCGACGGCCTCGTTGATCTTGTAGCCGGAGTTCTTCAGGTACTGTGGGTGAGTCGACAGTCAGCATTTCATCCAGCATTCAAAAGTTGAATCGATTCGCCATAGTCTCCCGTCTGCCCCTCCCCCGCCAAGGAAAAGGTCGCCTCGGTGCCCATCCAAGCGCAGCGTCTAGACGGCGCAAGACAGCGCGACACAACGTTGCAAAGCACGACAGCAACCGACGTTCCCCCGGTAGGTAGCAGACATGGCCTGCGTCTTGCAACGTCGGGTAGGACGATGAGGGGTTCTCCAGCAGTGGGGGAGAGGCTAGGGGGGCTGCGCGAACGAGGGACGAGAGCGAGACAAGACTCGGTTGGGATGTTTCTCGGTGGGAGATGAACGTACCCGTTGTGCGGTTCTGTCACTGGCACCAGTCAACTGCACGAACTGGGTCGCCAAAGCCTTCTGGGTTGACGAGGGCGGCATTGTGGCTGCGGTGGTTCCACCAAGTCTGTCGTATCGATTCGGTCTCGATCCCGAGGGGCGGAGGTGAGGTTCTGGGGATATCGCGTGACGCAGCTGTTCTCTTTACCGACAAGAGGAGATTGCGACGGCGTGGGTTGGTGACTCGGGCGCTGGTGCAGTAGATGTAGACGACGTCGGCTTGGAGTAGCGATTGCCGCGAAAGACGGTGTCGGTTCCAGGCAGGTCAAGGGTCGCGAAGGACGTCGATCGTTGGTTGTCGCGGAATGTGGTGGTCGAAGGGAAGGCAGAGGAAAGAGCTAGAGCTGCGACTTTGGAGACTGGGACGAAGCAAGGCTGAGATAGATGGTGGGGTAAGAGCGGCCGACGGTTTTGAGGCGGGGCAGCTCCTTCATCGGCAGGCAGCACAGGGTCACCTACACTTTTTTCTTGCTTCGGGCAGCTGGAGAGCCACAGGGTGCTGCGAGCGGTCTCCAGCGGTGTCTGAAGCACAGAGGTGCCTGAAATCAGCCTGTCCCTGCCTCCCGCAACTCCCGTCAATGAAAGTCGGGTGGGAACCCCGCCTTCCTAATCGGGCTCAAGTCTTTGGAGCTTCAACTCGACTTCCATGCCTGGGACTCGCTTTTCAACCGTCAACGTCCCCTCGAGTCTCTTTCTTTCTCTCTCCTCACCACTTTCACCTAGCAGTCTCGGGTCATTCCTTCCCGCCCGTTTGCTTCATCTCAACCTTCTTCGTCCCTATGCAGAGCCATGCACTATCATGAAACTTGGCTTGCCTTGGAGACGCAGGACGGAAGTTCAGACGGGTGTCTAATCGACCACAGTTATCTGTGCCTCATGGACCAGTTGAGTCTTCAAGCTAAGGTAACCGGGTAAATAAAATTATTGATTGTTGCTCGGTGTTTTTTTTTGATTCCTTAAGGATACAGCTCGACGAATTTGTTCGTGTGGTCTGTTTTACTTCTTCCTATGTTCTTGGCATCTGTAAAGGCCTCGAGATACCCAGCCATACGAGAACCAATGTGAGGACAGAATTATCATCATATGCATTAACACAGGAAAGATAGGTGGTACCGTTGAGATGATCCGTGAGTTGCAGGACATCGCACATCAACAGAACTTACCTAGGTACCTAGCCCGATGTTATATCCACCACTGGCAGCCAAGATACAGCGCCTTCAGGCAGCTGCGGTGCACTGAGTGTGCTCCCAGGGCCCCACACTCCCCCAATGACGTCTACCAATAGCGCCTCCTTGCCAGACTTCCATCGCTGCACCGACGTTAATTGATTGGAGCAGGCAGCAGACGCGACTTTTTTCTTGACGCGCCGCTGCGCTTGGAAACAGCTTCACGCATGTCACTCACTCTCTGGCAATCCTCGTCCAATTTTAACAGCAATACAAGCAGCTCACCCGACATACCGCCTTCCAACGATATGCTATAGAAATGGACTCTCCGTACAGTCGGGAGTCGAGCGAGCCTCCCTTCGACTCTGCGCATCCCTTCAAGGGCGTCGTCGTCTGCTGCACCAGCATCCCTCCCGACCAGCGGGTAAGTCGTGATGCACATCGCATTTGTCCCTCAGCCACCCGCGAGACGTTCCACCTGCGAACTCTGCCCGGACAATCTCTCACACCAGCTTCAGGCAGAAATAGCCAAAAAGACCGAAGAGCTCGGCGGAATCCACAAGTACGACCTCACCCCCGACGTAACTCATCTCGTTGTCGGCGACTACGACACCCCAAAGTACCGCCATGTCGCCAAGGAACGTTCCGATATCAAGGCCATGGATGCCACCTGGATCGATGCCGTAGGGAAACTGTGGATGGAGGATGTTAACATTGATTTCCCGGCTGTCGAACGCGAACATCAACTCAAGCCTTTGGAGACATGCGGCGAGCTCCCCGATGCCACTAATCCTGCCGAATCGAAGCGAGGGAGCCTGTTGCTGTGCATGACAGGCTTTGACGATCGTAGGTTCGCCCATATCCGCGGCGAGGCACAGTTCTGACACCAGTGTAGCCGACGAACGTAACCAAATCATCGAGCGAATTCAAGCCAACGGTGGCACTTACACTGGCGACCTGACGAAACGAGTGTCGCATCTGATCGTACATAAGCCAGAGGGAAAGAAGTTCAAGGCTGCCCGTAACTGGGGTATTCGTACCGTTTCCCTCGCTTGGCTCGACCAGACTGTAGAGCGTGGCTTGATTCTCGACGAGCAGTGCTTCGATCCGGCTCTGCCACCTGAGGAGCAGGGCCAAGGTGCTTGGAACAAGGTCAACCCGAGGCGGGTGTCTCTCGGCAAGCGGTCGAGATCCGGCGTCGTTGAGGGTGGGCAGAGGAAGTTGCGAAAGACGGCGAGTATGAAGCTTAGTAGCCAGCGCGAGTCGCTTTGGGGCGACATCCTCGGCAGCAAACCCACCGGAGAGTCCTCTGCTCCCGACAGAAGCGAGAGAATCGAGGTTCAAGACTCGGGCATTCACGACGCCATGGTGCAGCCAGCTCCTGATGCGGGCATCTTCTCGATGTGCTACTTCTTCATGACTGGTTTCGAACCGTGGAAGACAAAGATCCTAGCCGAGACGATAGGTTCCCTCGGCGGAAAGACCTATATCCTATTCGAGGAGATGGTTGCAGATCCCAGGGCCAGACCACGCCATAGATTCCTGATTGTCCCGCAGGAGTCTCAGCCCTCGACACATTATCAGGTCCCTTCAGCACACGTCGACAAGATCCAGATAGTAACGGAGTTCTTCATCGAGCGGTGTTTGCACAACAAGGAGCTTTGCAACCCAGATGGTCATGTTTTGGGTCGTCCGTTTCCCATGTTTCCTATCTCCGGCTTCGAGGACCTGTCTATCTGCACCGCAGGCTTCACCGGCATCGATCTTCTTCACGTAGAAAAGGCCATCAAGCAAATTGGCGCCAAGTATGCAGCCAGACTCAACGAGACTACTTCAGTGCTAGTCTGCAAGTCCATCACGGAAACGCGCAAAGAGAAGTTGAGATTCGCCTTTGAAAACGACATACCTATTGTCGGCTCAGACTGGCTTTGGGAATGCATAACGACGGGCTTCAATGCTCCCGTAAGGACATTCATGTTCTCAGAAATCAAGCAAAACCCCAACCTCGAACCCCGGCCGAAACCCAAGGAACAGCCCAAGGAAACTAAACAGCCGATCCAGAGAACACGGTCCGAACCTATCCCTCACATGCCGAAGAAGCCTGTTTCACGGCACACGTCGGCTGTGGGAATTGACCAATCCGCCTTCCAAGATGACCGTCCAAAACCTGCGGACCCAAGGCAGAGTATGACGAAGGCGGATTCAGCTGCGTCTTTCCAGTTTCAGACTGCCAAGACGCATCAGATGGATAGTTTCGGTGGCGGGACTGTCAATGAATCTTCTAGTATGCGCAACAGAATCTCTACAGTAGCGGCAAGACCGGCCATGACGAGGACGACGAGCGTCGCCGACAGCATGGACCCGACACCTATATCGAGATTGGATGCGCAGGAAGCCGCCGAAGATTTGCCTGAGGCGGATCCCTCACACACATCGGACAATGGCGCACTGGATGCCCAA